GACTCGTGCCATTTAGCGTGAAGCCCTCCGGCGTCTCTTATCTCACAGCGCTCAAAGCCCTCTAGCATTCGCAACCCTTCTCAAGAACGTTCTGTTTACCATGCATCGAGTCGCACGGCCAACTTGGATCTGATTTAGGTGTGACAACGTAGTCTCGTTGTATGTATCCACGTCAAGCCCTCCCCTCCGCTGTGATATCTTTGTCTTTCCTGCGTACACTATCCGGCGAGCGTAGACGCATCATCACAGTCTGGTGGTGGTGTATGTATCGTAACACCAGCCTTACGAACCGCATCTCTTTTACCATCCGCTTATCTCGCACTTGGACTTTCATTTCGGTGTGGCTTGTTGACCTGCATGTACAACCTCGCCGCCACACTGCCATCGATCCCATTCAGCTTTGTCCGTAAGTCAACTGGTTCTCCTCGGGCGCCGTTTGCTGTTCACATTCTCCAGGACAACCGAGCCCATCAGAGACACGATAAAGAACACCACGACCCCCCGAGACTGGTGGCTGCCGTACTGTACATCAGTCAGGGAAGTCAGACCCCTCCGGCCGTCCATCCACCGGTCAGTCTCGTTGAGGATCTCGCTTTCCACCAGCAACAGAGCGAGGTCCCGCATCAAGAACGCGGAGACTGGGTACTGAGCACGTGCTCTATGTTCGATCAGTTATATGACAGCGCTCATCTGGATCCCTTGACCCAATACGCTTTCTCGTCCAGACTCAACCTACCAACTCCGTCGCCATGGAACGACCCCGCTCTCTGAACAAATCTCAAGATGCCGCTGTCGCTGCTATCCTCGGCTCGGAGTTCGTGCGTGTCATCCTCCGATCGGATCCTCTTTTCGGGGATGGTTATGGCGCCGTCAGCGCTTGGGCGACGCAACGCAAGCGCCAGCTTTTCAATGAGGATCCCTTATTCTGGAGTGGTATTCTCGAGTCTGAAAAGAAATATTACCGTCAGGTATGTTTGCATCTAGGCTTTTCGACTCGCTTACTGAACCGACGTCTTTCACAGATCGTCGACCGCAGATTCCGTAACTATTACAATGCTTTGAGGGTTGCTTCCTTAGAGGGGCAAGCCGCGGCGAACGCAGGGAACTAACGTGGTATGATCCCACATATGCCTTGCGTGAATATTGTCACCCTAAATTTCGCGCAGGCTGCCCTGGCGAGTAGTGACTCGCTGTTTGAAGCGCATATAGGCCCACTTAGTAGTGTTCAGGATGAAAACTAGTCGTTGTTGACAGTTGTTAGACGGATAGAGAATAGAGTTGATGAGTCCACTATCTGGGAGAAGCGAAGTCGATACTTCTGGGCTGGCATCGCATCGCGATCAGTGTGAGATGCAAGATAGGCGTCAAAACTAACATGCTGCGTTCCATAGCCCGTACCAGTGTCCGATTCATTAGTGCGCGCGAGCAGATTGGCGGTGTGAAGACAATCACCATCACCATCAATCTGTTTCACGACCACCTATGTTCTCTTCACTGGCGGCGTCGGCATAAACGCCGAGATTGGGACCCTTAACTCAGTTGCATTCGCCCGATTGTCACTGCAGGTCGCCCTCCAGTATGAGTTCGCGCGCAAGAACGACGGCTACATTCCGCAGGGCACAATGGGTCATATTCAGTACCCGGATTTCATTGACTGAACCAAGGTTTCCGAGCTGAACGGTGCTTCGAGTCGTCATGCGATAGGCTTTGCACGTAGGGCGACATCAAAGACTCAGCCTCCGCACGAGCGAACCGCGAGACGAGCGGCGGCAAAGCTGATTGCCTTCCAACACTGTGGCCTCCCTATGTGATATCCTATGAGACAGCTACGCCAGACGTCTGGCAAATTCGACAGTGCATCCTATGCTGCTCACCGAGAGGTCCCCATGCGCATATGTCAAGTTCTCCGGCGATATACTCGCCGATACGTTCGAGAACATGATGACCCGCTTCACCGATGGCTCCGCCCAGCCTTGCACCACGCAGCAAGCAGGAGAACAGTGGGATGTCAGCGGCAAGCAAGCCAATGTCGCCGATCTTATTGACCCCACACGTGTTGCGTCGATGCGCACTGCGTCGGACCTCGACAGACCTGCATCTGATCAGACAGCCGTAGACAACCTTCTCAATGGCCAGTATGCAGGATACTACGCGACTGTCACGAACATATACCTCGTAGGAGTGCAGATTGTGCAAGGCCTCCTCAACGGCTGGAACGTAGAGGCCCAATGCCGAGTCTTGCATGTCGGTACAGGGTCAATTGCAGCCCACGGGTGCATTGCGAGGAAAGCAAGCTCTGTCTCACAATAACCAATGGCCGTAGGCAAAGATTTTCTGAAGAAGCACTCTTGAGAGTCGTATAGATTGAGTGCACCATGAGAACATCCCCGGCTCATGGTTGCAGGCATATGGTGGTGAGAGGAAAGTAACTCTCAGGACCGCGCGGTTTCTCTTCAGATCTTCAGCGCCGACGGTGTCCATCGTTCTCACACTGCCAGGAGATGACCCGGGCCTCACCTGTTCGGCCGCGTATATTTACTCTGCCTTGTGCGGCACGCTATGACCCTACGTCACAAGATGCCCTGACATAACGTGGCAGGACGGGCTTGAGCCTGGCTGATGACTTTCTTATAAGGGGTTGTACCTTCACGATAACTCCACAATATACGTATAGCCGTACAACCCCAATGCACCAGATACACCCCTTAGTAGCTTCCTCCCGCTCGCACGTATACACTCTTCCAGTCCCAGGTGCAGGCACAACATCCTCCTTTCTCCTCACATTACGTCCAACAATCTGTTTCATCAGTTCCTCTTGCACCCACGTCGCCGCGCCCTCGCTCAGGTTCAGGTTCTTGTACTTCAATGGTATGGACAAGAGACCGGGCTACAGGAAGACCGCGAGCTCTTCGTTGCAGATGATTACATTCTCGGATGAGCGGTCGATGGAGAGGGAAGCCACGAGGTCGTAGTAGAGTTTGCAGAAGACGAGGAGGATGCGTTCGACTGCCTCGTGTGTAGCGCGCGGGTCGTCGAAGACAGGTTAGAAGGTCGTGCCAGGTTCCATGTCGGCCAGCTTCGGCGTAGCGGTCTATGAGGGAGCGTCAGCATTGGATGTTCAGCTTTCAGGTTGACTGAGTGAGACATACCGGAAGGCGAAAGAGAGCCTTGGGGCCAGTGACAAAGAGTACGCTGCGGTAATTGCGCAATATCCGCAGACGTAAGAGGCGGAGGTACTGCGCAAGCGTCGTTGGGACGACGACATGCATGCTGATACGAGCGTCAAGACCATTCCCTGTATAGCGGCCGCTCTTTAGTTACAAAAGAGTATGGGTACTGCGCACACAGCTGGCAATCATATTGCGTACCTGTAAGAAGCGCTTGATACGCGTGTGCGAGTGTTCCGGCCCTGGGCCACCCAGACTGTGCAGGAGCATCATCGCGGATCCGTCCTGCTCCAGCTACTTAGCTATAGCGGCCATGATTAGCAAACTATGACAGGTAAGTACAGCGAGGGGACAAACTCTGGGTGCTCGAGATGAAGGTGTTGATGATGACCTGTGCATCATTGAAGAAGCCGCCGAAGGGGGCTTACCAAATTGCGGACAGACGCGACAACTGGTAGTTCAAGTAAACCTCGAAGCCGAAAACAGCCGTCTCGCGCAATGAGCATGGATAATAATGCGTCAGCTCCCAGCATTATAAGTAAGTCATACGCAATGTAACGCGTACTTTGCGAGCTAAAGCTTTCCGGCGTCCTCTCACATCTCGATGGGGTGTCGCTGCGAGAAGGTACCGCGACTGAGATCTAGACAGGAAATGCGCACTTTGTGGCTGGAGAGCAGGGGTATGCTGTGCCAGCACCACAGTCAGCGGCCTAATACTCCCACGATAACGCAATTGCCGCGTACCTGAGCAATCACCCAGCGGATACTTTCGCTCTTCCCATCTTCATCGAGGCATGCCTTACATATCGTTGCAGACGAGGGTGAACCTTGAACCCGTTAGGTCAGCAACGCCCGCGCGCCCAACTTGTTAGGATACATTGTGCGATACACCTGTCCCTGGTATACACTGCGCCTCAGTGTGAAATATGGTGAGAAGTACGTTCCAAGGACTGACCAACCATCCAGCGTTGCCGGGCGCCAGTGAGAGTCGGCTTGTAGAAGTCTGCGCCATCGAGGGGCCATCGAAGGTGCGCCTTGCAGCTCAAACTAACGCTCACGGCCGCGTCGGCGGAAAGAATCTCTTCGCTTGAAAGCGCACATTGATGTCAGTGTATCCTGGCCCGATGAGTAGAGGGTCAGACATACGATGAGCGCCTCTTCATACACCGTAAGTATGCTCTTCCGCGCGCCTCTAGTTCGTTATGTCCGCATGACGATATACCAAAAGGTTGATGATGATGATGTCCTATAGCATCCGGTCAATGCGCTGTACATAACGAAAGAAGAATAGATGCACACCTTGCGGAGATGCTGTAGGTATTTGAACGCAATATGATCATTTCACACGAGCTGTACCTCCACTTTCTTGCCATTGCAGTCCAGAAGTCGGAGTGGCCGCTGTATGTTGTCATCAGTGTGCGCCGAGTATAGCTTGGACGGACGTCTACGCACTTGAATGGGAGATTTGAACATCGCTCGTCGCGTCAAGTGCTCCAGAAACTCCGCTCGCACGGCTTCGCCCGATCGAACACCGCTTGCCCGTTCGAACGCTGCTCGCCCTAGTCTCCCCTCGTCCGTTTGAAGGCGGCTTGCCCGATTGATCGCCACTCATTAGTTTGAACGCTGCTCACTCTCTGGGTTTCTGACTGCAACGGCGGCATTCCGCGGACGATCATGACGCTTGCCCAGATGCTCAAAGAGTAGCCGCACTTCCACAATAGATTGGCAGCTAGAAGAACTGTTCCACCCGTCACGAGTACAATGGCCTCGCAAGACGTACACGCTCTCGGCTAGCAATGCAAGCAGAAGTGCGACCGCGTACTTCGAGTAGTAGGATGGGAATGCGATATGACTGCCTTCAGAGCAGAGCCAGTGCGATCAGACGGAGACCGGACCTGGCGATAGGGGTGAAGCTCAAGATATCATATATATCAGGTGCAAGCGCCCTTGACATCGGGCGCTTGCATAGGTGATCAACGAAGTTGGTCCAGGTGGTGGTGTGTGGTGAACCGGCGCACGAGGTCGGCGCGTCCACGGTGTCCGCCCGATCCGGTTTCGCGGAGGTTGCGCACTGCTCTCATCTTCACGACTCTGACCATGCAACCCACATTATGGTACGATCTATGCCGTGTATACTGTTATTTATTTCTGAAGCTGACTTTGGACGTACCAGGCGGCACAACATTTCTAGGGTATCCAGACCCTCTTAGTGGCGGAGAAGGAGGCGGCTAAGGTCGTGCGGGCTGAGGGACGCCGATGTGCGTCATCTACCCCTAGGAGGTGCAGAAGGAGACTGACGAATCTCGCAAGTCCAAGGAGGACGAGTTCAACACGTTCCAGTTCTCGGTACGTTACATATGCCCTCGACTTATGCCAATATACTTACACGTCACTGCTATTTAGCACAATGGGATGAACGAGCCCGCGCAAGTGAAGATCGACGAGCAGACCTTGGTGCAGTTGCAGGCCGCTATGACCCGCTACAACGCGCACAGGGACGAGATCGTCAAGAAGTTGCTTGACTGTGTCGTTTTCGTAGAGCCTCGGCTTCACCGCCACCTTAGGAAAGAAGAGTGGATGCTATGATTCCCGAGGAGACGGATGCGACTTGAATCGAGGACACTCACCCACCTGCACCCTTCTCGTTCTGATGACATCCGATGTCTGTCACGGCCTCACTCTGCCAATAGGGAGGTTCTGTCGGGAGGAGACTCGTGGTCCTTTCGTATTCCAGAGTCGACGCGCTTCCGGGTGCGTGTGGAAATAAAAATACTCGAAGCACTACTGATATTAACGTGGGCGTAGATCCCGGCCAAAGTACGGCCAAAGTAGACGCGCTCAAGGAGAGCATTCAGACTACGCTTCTCGAGCTCTGAAGAGGTACGTAGTGTCAATGCAGTCACGATCTTAACATCTGACGCTCGAGACAGGAGTAACATTTCTGCGACGCCTTCCAAGCACGACTGGCTGCGGTGGCTCGGTACAAAGCGCCATCAATGCCGCCGGTCAAGCGAGAATACAGGCGGAGCGTACTAAGGATATGTATGCCGACGCGCACGTAGCATATGAGCAGTTTTGTCGTGAGGCCTGTAAGCGTCAGTAGATGTGGCGCCCACAATGCGATGTCCGTCGTAGTTATGACGCTGCCTTGCCGAGCCTTTGATTTTACAGGTTTTGGTAGGTACAGTCGGTGGAAATAGGGGACCGGTACCTCATCAAGCCACCAGGTGACGTATGTGTATGAACGAGTCTAATAGCGCAGCCGAGCGGCGACCATGTAGCGCTGCTTCCCTACTACGGCGCTTCCTGTCTCGGTATTCTGCTGGTGGCTTCCTTTCTGTGCCACTTCCTCCGGCTGGGGGTCAACCGAATGATCGGTATGGGCGTGCGACCTTCCCGCGGGCCTACTGTCACATTACAAGAGCGCGTGCTCGCAGGGGCGGGGTATGTTGTTTGAAAACTTACGGGGCGGCGCTAACCTTCTACACGTTGCAGTCATACGATCGCGCACTGATGGCGGTCAAGTTCGTTCGGGCGCGACGATCTATGTAGCGGCACATAGGTTAGCGCTGATGGCGGTCAAGTTCGTTCGGGCGCGACGTACCATGTAGCGGCACATAGGTTAGCGCTGATGGCGGTCAAGTTTGTTCGGGTGCGACGATCTATGCAGCGGCACATAGGTTAGCGCTGATGGCGGTCAAGTT